CCTAAACCTCACCAAAGATGATATACAGATGGCAATAAGCAAATGAAGAGATGTGCCACATCATTACATCATCAAGAAAACCCAAATTAAAATGAGATACCCCTACACATCTTTGAGAATGTCCCAAACTGGAACACTGACACCAAATGCTGGTCAGGACGGAACTGGAGCAACAGGAACTCTCATACATTACTAGTGGGAATGCAAAGTGGTACATCCACTTCAGAAGACAGTTTGGTGGTTTCTTATAAGATTAAACATACTGGTACATACTAATCATGCCAATAATGCTCCTTGGTATTTCTTATAAGATTAAACATACCGGTATATATCAATCATGCCAATAATGCTCCTTGGTATTTACCCAAAGGAGTTACTTATGTCTGTGCAAAAATATGCACACAGTGCTTGTAGCAGCTTTCCTTTAACTGCCAAAACTTGGGCTCAGCCTACTGAGTCCTACAGTAGACAAATGGATAAGCCATGATACAGGAACCACCAAGCCATGAAGAGACATGGGAGAAACTTAAATGCGTGTTAAGTGAAAGAAGTAAATCTGAAAAGGCTACATCTTGCATTCCATCCATATAGTATTTTGAAAAAGGCAAAACCAGAGAGGCTGGGGAAAGATAGTGTTGCCACGGGTTGAGGGTGAGGAAGGGATGAACAGGTGAAAAACAAAGGATTTCTTAGTGAAAATACTCTATATACTGTAATAAGGGATACATATAATACATTTGTCCAAACACAAAAAATACACACTACCAAGACTGAACCCTGATGTAAACTTGGATTTGGGGTGATTATGTGTCAATATAGGATTATCAGATGAAATGAAATGTTCCACTCTGGCAGGGAATGTTAATAACGGGGGATGCCTGTGTGGCGGTGTGGTCTATATTCCTTCCTCAACTCTTCTGTAAGTCTAAAACTTCTCCAAAACACAGTCTCAAAAAAATAAAATAAAATAAAATAAAAAAGGAAATGAAGGGGCACCTGGGTGGCTCAGTGGGTTAAAGCCTCTGCCTTCAGCTCGGGTCGTGATCCCAGGGTCCTGGGATCGGGCTCTCTGCTAGGCAGGGAGCCTGCTTCCCTTCCTCTCTCTGCCTCTCTCTGCCTACTTGTGATCTCTCTCTCTGTCAAATAAATAAATAAAATCTTTAAAAAAAAAAAAGGAAATGAAGATTTAAGATACACCATGCTAACACTCATCAAAAGAAAGCAGGAGTACCTATATTAGTAACAGACACAGTAGACTTCAAAACAAGGAAATTATCAGGAATAAAGATAAATGATAAAGGGGTCAGTTCTACAACACAACTGTTAACATGTACACACCTAACAAAGTGTCAAACTACATGAGGTGAGGCAAAAACGGAGAATTGCAAGGAGAACTGTCTGAGTCCAACACCCCTCTGACTGACCGAGCAGGCAGAAAACCAGTAAGAAAATAGCTAAAACCAAAACCAACCATCAACTCAATTTAAATGACACCTACCCAGTAAGAGAAGAATACACACACATTCTTTTTAAGCTCACATGGAACATTCATCAAGACATTCTTGGCTATAAAATACACCTGGACAAATTTAAAAGAACAGAAATCCTAGTGTCTACATTCAGACCACAATGGAATTATATAAGAAAAAAAAAACAAAACACTTAATCCCCACTTAACACACTTCTAAATAATGCATGAGTCAAAGAAGAAATCTTTCAGCATTTAAATATATTTTGAACTACATGAAAATAAAAACTTAGCAAAATTTGTGGGATGTAAAGTCCTTATAGGAAAATTTACAGCATTTAATTCAAACATTAGAAAAGACCTAAAATCAATCATCAAAGCTTCCACCTTAGGAAACTGAAAAGGAGCAAATTAAATAAAAAATAAGAAATAAAAATCAGCAGGTACCAATGGAAAACAGGAAATCAATGGAGAAAGCCAATTAAACCAAAAGCTGATTCTTTAAAAAGGTAAAACAGAGAAGCCTCTAGCCAAACTAAAAAAAAGGACACAAATTACTAGTATCAGAAAGAGGGGACATTCACTATAGATCCCATGAACCTTAACATAAAGTTTGACCCCCCAGTGGTGCCTGACTGGCTCAACAGGTAGAGTACGTGACTTGATCTCAGGGCTAAGCTCAACCCCCACGTTGGGTATAGATTACTTAAAATCTTAGTTTTTGAAGATTTTATCTATTTTAGAGAGAGCAAGCAGGAGAGGAGGGCAAGTGGCAGAGGAAGAGAGAAACCCAAGCACACTCCACGCTGAGCAGAGAGTCCCATGCAAGGCTCAATCTCATGACTGAGATCATGTGCTCAACTGACTTCGCCACTCGGGCACCCCTAAATATAAGATCTTTATTTTTTTTTTAAGATTTTAAAATTTATTTGACAGAGAGACAGAGACAGTGAGAGGGAATACAAGCAGTGGGAGTGGGAGAGGGAGAAGCAAGCTTCTTGTTGAGCAAGGAGCCCGACATGGGGCTTGTTACCAGGACCTCATGACCTGAGCCAAAGGCAGTCCATTAAAAACTAAGCCACCCAGGTGCCCCAAAATAAGATCTTAAAAAAAAAAAAAAAGTCTGACCCCAATAAATGATCTGAAAGTGATTACTAATACATGAGATAATTTTGTACATATGCTAAAGAAAACTGGAAGTCTCAGTGAATAGGACATGAATACTCTCAAACATTAAAATAACATTTCACTTGAATTTTCAATAGAGAATACATAAGGTGGAGGGGGAAATTCATGTAAACAGAAACATGTAACAAAATACCAAGATATTACACCATAGGAAAGTAACTCAGTAAGTTAGACAAAGGACAATGGGTAATATTATGCTCACCCGCCCCCCAAAAAGCTTATTGGTCAGAGGGTTAGAAAACAGATAATGGTTTTATCCTCAACTCCAATGCTGTTACTCAACAGCCTTTAAGAGAACCACAATTCCTCTTCAGTTTCTCTATTAACATACTTACCAATTATTTGACAGAATACTTTTTAATCTAGGCACACAATCAACTGTTCTGTATTAATAGGGGAGGTCACAGACACCTCTTATTGAGTGACCAACACTAAGGTTAATATTTACGTAAACAGTAAGCACTGAATCTTGATGGTTTTCAAGTATTTCCTAAGAGTACTAAGCATGTCAATTAAGTTAGGACAGTGATAACGACTTTCTAAGTTCACATCATTTGCAAAGAATGTTAAAACACAGAGAAAGGCATTATGGGGGTTACCTCTTTTTTTTTTTTTTTTTTAAAGATTTTATTTATTTGACAGAGAGAGATCACAAGTAGACAGAGAGGCAGGCAGAGAGAGAGGGAGGGAAGCAGGCTCCCTGCTGAGCAGAGAGCCCGATGCGGGACTCGATCCCAGGACCCTGAGATCATGACCTGAGCCGAAGGCAGCGGCCTAACCCACTGAGCCACCCAGGCGCCCCTGGGGGTTACTTCTTAATTTATACTTTTTCCCCAAAGAATTTACTCACTTCTATTTGGGGGGGCGGGGAAGGAACTTCTCAATTTGACTTAAAGAACTACCACCACTAGGACTAAAGACAGAGTAGTTTTTTTAGATTTTATTGAGAGAGCAAGAGCATGTGCACTAGATAGAGCACGTGCTCACCCACGCACAAGAGAGGGGTCAAGCTGAGCAGCGAACCTGCCATGGGGCCCAATCCCGGGACCCTGGATCATGACTTGAGCAGAGGACAGACGCTTAACTGACTAAGCCACCCAAGAGCCCCACGAAAGTAATTTCTTGGGATAAAAAACACCTAGTTTTGCCAAGTTACGAAGCAAATGTTTCCCTTTAAAAAAAAAAAGTAATCTTGCAAATCTAACCCATTTGGTGAAAAGTAGGCAATTTTATAGATTCTTAATGCAATCCTTTCCAACAATGATAGTAAGAGCTGCTTTACTACCAAATAAGATTATATGAATTCTATTTACTCCTTTTTTCAGTTTGTGAAAGCATTCTGGGTTTGTTTTTAAAATACAGTGGTCATTTAATTATGATCACTGGACCTACTGGAAGTTTAATATAACCTAGCTGAAACCCATAGAACTACACATACTACATCATATCTTAGTTTTATCCAACAAGGAAGGATACCTTTCTCATTCAGACAGAAGAAGGGAAAATTCATCCAGTGGGCTACAATGTTGCACTTACATCGAGTGACCCATGTTAAACACACACTTTACCCCAGTAACCTGCATGACAATCATCAACTACTTAATTCCCATTTCCTTTCACTTGTTCTGGCATTTCTTTTTTATGATTCAAAAATATGTATCATTTTACTAGCATAGAGTTGGTTTGGAAATAAGATTTCAATCCAGAAACTTATGTGAAGCTGTAAAAACCACTAAGAATTTGAAAGATGTGTAAGATACATAAAATATTATTGACAAACTAAGTTAGTTACTCATAAGGTTATGAAGGTGAGTCCTTAATAATCTCATAAATGTAGTTCATTAACTATATATACCGTTATTGCCTTATTAACAAAGAATTCGTTACATGCAGCTCTCCACAGAAGTTTTGAAATATGTGGAGCTAAAACTAAATGTGCTTATTAACTCCTTGACAGAAGAGAGCAGCATATCCTTTGAGGTCTGCATTGTGCCACACAAACAGCACTTCCATTTTTTTACCTAGCATTAGTTGTGAAACAAACACATGCATACATGCTTTTTGGGCAGTTCATTTTATTACAGCTTTTTACTCTTGATGTGAGTTTAGAAATGTACAGTGTCAAGTTCTATTTTATTAAAGGAAACTAAAATTCTGAAGCTACTCCCCACTCTGTTATACACATGATAGCAACCCATACCTTATTTTCCAATTTAAACAATTAGTAAACTCACTGAGACCTGTATTATTGTTTACAAAAATGCAATATATGCAAATTAACTGTGCTAAATAAGAAAATCCATTTCAAATATCTTCTAGACTCAAAAAGAACACACACATTACATATTTTTATCATTTTATTAGGAATAATTCCAAATGGGTTATGAAGAAAACTTACTGAGTTTGATAAGTTTTTCAAAAACTCTTAATGAAGATGTGTTCACCAATAAACAATAAACATCAGCAGAACTATCATATACTGGGCAAAGAGTCAGGCTGATACCAAAAAGCAACATGCAACATAAAAAAGATACAATATAAAGGAAGACAATCTGCTGGGTATTAAAAATCATCTCAATATGAACTCTTTGCAACCAGCACTGAACTAATTAGCTATCAAATCCAAACCACACTAAGGTAAGCTTGGCTGATGAAAGCCAGGTTCAATAAGGGGGGAAAAATAGAAGTTCCTCAGTGCAAGAGATCTGAATAGTGTTTTGGAGCATTTCCCTGGCTGGTACAAGCAGTATTAGAAAAACTTTTTGGCAAGGGAGAAAAATAAATACAAATGGAATGCTACATTTTTTTAAATCAGCAGACCGCCCCAGGAATGATAAAGGTATCAGTAAAGTAGCAAGGGGAAAACTTTAAAACATTATTTTGTGTGGGCTCAAAAAAACATTCAAAACGGATTTATTTAAAGGTGTCACAATAGCTATGTCCAGGCATTTAGGCTTAAGGGAATTAAAATTAAAAGAGGACACTTTTTTCCCAAGTTAAGGAGAATTTCTTTAAAACCAAGCATATTGCTAAATAGCAATATTACACTTGGTAAACAATAATTGGCAACAAAATAAGTTTAAAAGCTGTAATATTCTGCCCAAACCAGTCCCAGATACTGTTTAATAACCAAGATGCAAACTAATTTTGTTGTAACAAGCCTAGACCAATTCTATCAAATGTGTCCTTGGTTAGATCCAATTTCATTTAACGTTTTGAAAGCTCGTTTGACAGCCAGTCAAGTCCCTCATACAGACCAGTTCCTTGTGTAGCACAAGTGGCTTGAACATACCACTGTAAAGAAAGAACAAGAAAATACTTGATTAACTGAACACTATATATAACCAGTCTTTAAAATTTCTTAATCAGAACATTAAGTATTTCCGCCCACTGTGCAAGCATAATATTTAGTCAGCAGTTACCATACATGTACAGGAAAAGGGAAACAAAAAACTAATATATAAAACTATAGATATAAAGAAGTAAATACAGAGGGCGCCTGGGTGGCTCAGTGGGTTAAAGCCTCTTCCTTCGGCTCAGGTCATGATCCCAGGGTCCTGGGATCGAGCCCCACATCAGGCTCTCTACTCGGTGGGGAGCCTGCTTCCCCCTCTCTGTCTCTGCCTGCCTCTCTGCCTACTTGTGATTTCTGTCAATAAATAAAAAAAAAAAAAAAAAAAAAAAACCAGGAAGTAAATACAGTTTACATCTCACCATGACTTTTGTATTTAATAATCTCAGTAACTATATAGAACTATATATACAGAACTACAGTGTTCTCATACACACTTCTCACAAAACTGTCTCAATTAAAGCTACTCCTACCCATTCATTAGAGTTTATCAACAATCCACTCCTTAATCTGAAAAGAACATTCATAGGAAGATTAGTAACTACTTAAGGGGACCCATCAGGTCCTTCTGACCCTCTTTTGTTTCCCATAAAACTACATTCAGAGTACAGGAGGCAAAATTTTAAAAAAGAATAGGCACTGTTGATACTGGAGGCAAGCTTCTCAAATAATTTCACTATCTTTAGTCTTTGCATTCCAAAAAGTTTCACTTTTTGGTGGTAACAGGAAGTGTATGAAATGCCATGAAATGTTAAGAAAGAGCAAGAAAAAGATCTAGAAAACAATTTAATTTCCTTTAAGCAATAGTTTATTTTTTAAGCAATAGTTTAATTACTTTTCTTTACTGACCTATTTTATTCTGCCTTACAATAAAGACCTTACTTTAATATCACAAGGGTAATGCAAGTATACCATTCTGGCAATAATTATTTGAATAACAAACACCCCAGTAACCTAGAAGGCTGGTTAAAGGTACAAATTCTTATCTTCACAGCCCTGAAAACTGGTACCAGTTACAGTTTATCTTGTTTAAATCAGCCTGGTACATCTCGAACAGCCTATACAGATACTGCCACAGCACAGTATCTGCCTTGTTGACAACTTAGTGAAAAACCACTGTAAAGCACAAGTCATATTAAAGTTTGTGACATCATATTTACATATAAAACAGTAGATTGTATTTTGCCGGTATTTAAATCACTGATCTAAAACAAGCTACTGGAGAACAAGTATAATATTTCTTTTTTTTAATTATTTTCTTAAAAGATTTTATTTATTTATTTGACAGACAGAGATCACAAGTAGGCAGAGAGGCAGGCAGAGAGGAGGAAGCAGGCTCCCTTCTGAGCAGAGAGCCCGATGTGGGGCTTGATCCCAGGACCCTGGGATCATGACTTGAGCCGAACTGAAGGCAGAGGCTTTAACCCACTGAGCCACCCAGGAGCGCCATAATGTTTCTTTTAATTTTAAATTCAAAACTTGTTTAATGTCATAACTATAGTTCACAAGCTTTGGATGTTAAAAGGCAAACATTATAAAACAAGATTATCTAAAATACGGCGGCACTACGCAGCAATCAAAAGAAATGAAATCTTGGGGCGCCTGGGTGGCTCAGTGGGTTAAAGCCTCTGCCTTCAACTCAGGTCATGATCCCAGGGTCCTGGAATCAAGCCCCACATCAGGCTCTCTGCTCAGCAGGGAGCCTGCTTCCCCCCCTCTCTCTGCCTGCCTCTCTGCCTACTTGTGATCTCTGTCAAATAAATAAATAAATAAAATCTTAAAAAAAAAAAAAAAGAAATCTTGCCTTTTGCAACGACGTGGATGGAACTAGAGGATATTATGCTGGGCGAAATATGTCAATCGCGAAATAAGTCAATCAGAGAAAGACAATTATCATATGATCTCCCTGATATGAAGAATTTGAGAGCCAACATGGGGTGTTTAGGGGGTAGGGAAGGAAAAAAATGAAACAAGATGGGATTGGGAGGGAGACAAACCGTAAGAGACTCTTAATCTCACAAAACAAACTGAGGGTTGCTGGGGAGAAGTGGGTAGGGAGAGGGTGGCTGGGTTATGGACACTGGGGAGGGTATGTGCTCATGTTGAGTGCTATGAAGTGTGTAAACCTGGCGATTCACAAACCTGTACCCCTGGGACTAATAATACATTATATGTTAATAAAAAATAAAAAATTTTAAATACGGCTGCAAAAATATTGCAGTTTTAGTAAGAAAACCAAATTACAAAATACTTGCTGCAGAGCTCTTTGAAAGATATAAAATTAAAACAGACAATATCAATAATCTCTAGATGGGGCGCCTGGGTGGCTCAGTGGGTTAAGCCTCTGTCTCCGGCTCAGGTCATGGTCTCAGGGTCCGGGGATCAAGCCCTGTGTTAGGCTCTCTGCTCAGCGGGGAGCCTGCTTCCCCCTCTCTCTCTGCCTGCCTCTCTGCCTACTTGTGATCTGTCAAATAAATAAATAAAATCTTAAAAAAAAAAAATTACATCTTTATTGATACTGAATGTTTTAAAGATAAAGTTAACAAAAATCAAATGAAATAAAGGTATTTAAACATTTGGCTCCTTAAAAGATAAATATTAAAAATTAAAAAACGGAGGGGCGCCTGGATGGCCCAGTCAGTTAAGTGTCCGAATCCTGATTTTGGCTGAGGTCATGATCTCAGGGTCATGAGATGGAGGCCCATGCTGGGCTCTGCACTGGCCGTGGAGCCTGCCTGGGATTCTCTCTCTCTCTCTCTCTCTCTCTCTCTCTACTCCTCTCTTGCCGAGGGCGGGGGAGATACTAACATAGTTTAAAAATTGAACACACATTTATAAAAGTCTGGAAGGGCTCATGTTTGTAGTGTATTACTGTATTTTTTAAAAAATGGTATGCTCATTATCTGTCCAAAAGGGACAATCGCTTAATATGTATCGAAGTGAATACTTCCTTAAACAATTACATTAATTCTAAGTCAGGAGATTAACATGAACCTCCAAATACTTACTGTTCTGTTACGAAGAGACTGAAGACCTAATTTATCTGTCATTTCACTGATGGCCATAGCATTTGGCAAATCCTGTTTGTTCGCAAAAAGCAGCAACACTGCATCTCTCAACTCATCTTCCTGAAGCTGAAAATAAAAGCTACGATGTTAACAACTAACAATCTGAACTCAATCACTTGACAAAGTAGGTAAAACACGGTCTTCCTGTATATATCACTTATTCAACCTTGAACACATTATTAAACATCAACCTAATTTCACAACATAAAGTTCAGGCACACTCACATCTTATATCCTTCAATTTTTAAAACCCAAGCAAAATCTCATATGCCTTTCAAGTAAAGCAAAACTATTTTTCAAGCCAATCATCCTGCACTCCATTAAAGTAAATCATTCATTTGAGCTTTCATGATCGCCCACTAAGAGTCAGGATTGGGGGGCGCCTGGGTGGCTCAGTGGGTTAAGCCGCTGCCTTCGACTCAGGTCATGATCTCAGGGTCCTGGGATCGAGCCCCGCATCGGGCTCTCTGCTCAGCAGGGAGCCTGCTTCCTCCTCTCTCTCTGCCTGCCTCTCTGCCTGCTTGTGATCTCTCTCTGTCAAATAAATGAATAAAAAAATCTTTGAAAAAAAAAAAAAGAGTCAGGATTGGTAAGGACAAGAAACACATATGGAAATAAATATTTACAGCAGCATCTTATGGTACTCAGTGGTAGAGGACTCTTTTTGGACTTTTATTCCTTTCCAGCCAGCAGGGCTAGACAACAGGAGGACAACAGTACAATGACTAGGGCATTAGCAGTATCGTGAAAAAAATACAAGAATAATGTAAGAGTATAATAATAAATAATACAGGAGTAAATACTAAGTAATAGAACAATAATAAAAGTAAATAAAAGAGTAGACACTGGTAGGAATCAGTACTGACACATGCCACACCACGGATGAGTGCTGAAAATTAATGCTAAGTGAAAAGTAACAAAAAGTTTTAAAAAACCACGTATTACATGATTCTATTTATATGAATGCCTAGAATAGGCATATGCATATAAAGTAAATTAGTGGTCATAAGGGCTGAGGGTTTGGGGTACACTGAAGGAAGAAATGGAGAATAAATACTAATAGTTATAGGGAATTTCTTTATGGTCAATAAAAATGTTAAAAAATCAGACTGTGGTTAATGTTTGCAAATTCTGTATACTAAAAACCAGTAACTTACATATTTTAAATGAGTGACGTTTATGGTATATGAATTATACCTCCATAAAGCTGTTTACAAAAAGAGTAGAAGGCGTGATATTTAACTCCTTGGACAAACTACCATGACTTAGTTATACATACACTGGCACAAACTGCAATATAGTCTTAAAAGCAATGAATGAGAATTAAGATTTCATTTCAGTAAATATTTTACAGTTATCCAAGTTTGAAACCATGACAAAGTACATCCCCAACAATTTTTACAATATAAATACAGCTGACCCTTGAACAACATGGGTATGAACTGTGTGGGTCAACTTCATACATGGTTGTTTCGCTGCACATTACTGTAAATGCATTTTCTCTTCCTTGTAATTTTCCTAATAACATTTTTTCCTTAGTTTACTTCATTAAAGAATACAATATAAAACACACATAACATTCAAAATTATGTGTTAATCAAGTGTTATTGGTAAGGGCAAGAGTAAGCTATTAGTTTTTTTGTGTGAGAGATAAATCTAAAGTGATATTTATTTTTGTAAAATACAACTGACAGTTGAAAAAAAAAAATCAAGGATGTGGATATCGTTTTCTAACTTTTCTAGTATTTTAGTTGACTCACAAATGCATAGAAGTATTCCAGATGAGAGGTGGGACTGCCAGGAATGCTGCAGAAAAAATGTCCACATTCAGTGGAAAGCTGGATTAGATGTCTTTTGGAACCCTTCCAAGACTAAGATTTTCAGATTCTTTTCGAGTATGCCAGTCACTTTAATTATCATATTTAAAACAACAGATTCCATGTTAAAGTGTCAAGCCACAAAAAACTGGAGTATTAGAATAGTTCCAAAAACACTAAAAAGAATTTTACTTGAAATCTGTTATTTAAATGACAAAGCAAAGACCAAAACAAAAAATGTCAAAATAGAATTCTTACTAGATCACAGTGAGATTCTTGTCAAGCTGGAGAACAGTTTCCTTAAATGCAAAATCCTCTGCCCAATTGCCTTTACTCCCTAAAATGAGGATCTGGAACACATACTGAATAACTTTAGTAATCTGTATCTCCATCTGTAGGTTTTATGGTATGGTCTTTATCTCATCTGAATTTTTCATACTGTCCAAATTCATCTTTCTGTTTGCTCTTTTCAGTCTGTATTTCTAAAACCTTGTCTAAACATTTGTTCTAAAACATTTCTAAAGCTTGTCTTAATTGTAATTTCTTCTTTCCAACATCAGTTTTTCCTCCAAATTCCAAGATTCCTGGTGTGATTTCATTATTAATTTAGCTTTAATACATGTTTCATGTTATCCATGAGCACACTTGGGGTTAATTTTCTCCAGGTTTCATGTTATCCATGAGCACACTTGGGGTTAATTTTCTCCAGGTTTTTTTAATGAGCTTCAGGATGCAGCTCAAAGTTGCATCCTATCTAATACAAGCCTTTTTCATTTCAAAAGCAATTTTTAACTCTTCAGTTTCCCTTTCCAGGTCTTCAATTTTAGCTTCAATTTGCTTATCTTACGTGATTTTTTCTGAAGCTTTTTCTTCATTTGCATCAACCACTGATTTATAGTCCAGGAGTTCTTGTTTTGTCTGTGCTCTCAGGCTGAGCAGCAGGGTGAAGTGGTCCTTGGGATGCATACCTGGACACCAGACCTGTGCTGGCCCACCCTCCCCACCTCCCACTCCAGAGTCAGAGGGCTTGGCAGGTGCTTGCTTTCTGGGTTGCAGCCAATTCTGACTGGTGAGAAGAAAAGCCACCTAGGACACAAAGGCATGGCCTCAGGAGGCACTAAATTGTGGCCAGCAAAAGGAGTTAAGTTTTTGAGGACTCAAAAGTTATACATGGATTTTCAACTGTCCACATGGTGAGTGGGCCATGAGCCGGCACTCCTAACCCCCAGGCTGTTCAAGGGTCAACTGTACATGAAAACAATCTGATACCCGGCAAAGCTAAAATACCATCATCAACCAAAATGCTACTACCATAGGTGGAATTCTTTATCATGGCTGCTACTATGAAATATTTCAGAGTGTAGGTACAGAATAGAGAAAACGGAACCCAGTGACCTTGGGAACAGATATCTGAACCAAAATTCCTAGATCACAAAAGTTCCAAACCTATAGATTTTTTATCTATTAAATAAAGCACTGCACTAATGGAGACATCCTCAACCAGAGACCTATCACCCCTGGAGCATGGTAAAAACAAGCTGAGCCCTCCTCCCAACTTAATGAAGTAGCTACTCTTCGGTCTGTTTAAAAAGCTCTACAGTTTTTATGTGCATTCTTAAGAATCTGTGATGACTGTTCCTCAAGGTTCTTTCTAGCCCTGAAACGATTCATTTGTGTAATCTAATCACACTAAGATGTACCAACCACTAACACCACCATTGTCACCCTGAAAAACACATCTTGGAAATAAGAAATTTAAAAAACTTTCTTACCATTTTCTGCAGCTCTTCAGCTCCTTCCTGAATTCTTTCACGATCATTACTATCTACCACAAAAATAAGACCCTGGGGAAAAAGTGTTTTTATAAATAAACTGCAACAGTTAACCTTAAAGGAGACACTAAATATTTACAGACAAAAGAACCATATTGAATTAAACATCAAGAAGCCAATGTCTCATTATTAAAAGAACAACAAAAAAGAACAGGGCCCTAAGTACTAAAAATAGATTTGAGCACTATTTGTGATTTTGACTTATGTTATTAAAAAAAAAAATGTAGAGGTGCTTGGGTGGCTCAATCAGTTGAGGATCTGATTGATTTTGGCTCAGGTCAGGATCTCAGGGTTGTGGGATCAAGCCTCGCATGTGGCGCTATGCTCAGCACAAAGTCTGCTGGCGATTCTTTTCCTTTGTCTCCCTCGTGCCCCTCTCCCACTCACATGCACATGCTCTCTCTAAATAAATAAAATCTTAAAAAAAAATCTTACTCTTAACCAACCGATCACTTTTCTCAACTACACTATGAATAAATTTTATCCCACTTCCCTTTCATGTTAAGTGCAGATTATAAGTAACAGAATGGTTCACTATGCGGGAACAAAAGGAAAAAGAACTAACGAGAGATCGGAGTGCCTAGGTGGCTCAGTAGGTTAAGCCTCTGACTTTGGTTCACTTCACGATCTCAGGGTCCTGGGATCAAGCCCCACATCGGGCTCTCTGCTCAGCATGGAGACTGCTTCCCCCTCTCCCTCTGCCTGCCTCTCTGCCTAATTGTGATCTCTTTCCCTCTGTCAAATAAATGAATCTTTAAAAAAAAAAAACACAAAAGATCCTAAAGATGCATGAATCTAATGACTTAATTAGCATATTCAGTAAAAGGCATGCACAAAGTATTTCTAAAAAAAAGAGGGAGAAGGGGCACACAAAATGGTTTTTGTAGGCTTACTTATGGAAAAGTCGGCTCTGCTCCACAATATTATTGACTTGATCAAATAAGAAAATTCTTTTATATTTATTTTTTAAGTAAACTCTAGGCCCAGTGTGGGGCTTTAACTCACAACCCTGAGATCAAGAGTCATACTCCACAGACTGAGTCAGCGAGGTGCCCCCCAATATGAAATTCTTAACAAAAAGAAAAGTAGTAACCACTCCTACAGATATTCACAAACATTAAAATTCTATTCTAGAAAAGAAATGGAATTAAGGAAACAATTAGTTAAGACTTTTCTAAAAACTTTCAAACGGAAAAGTATAAAATTTTCAACTAGAGAGAGATTACCTTGATAGCTTTGTTAAAATCTATTCCTATTAATACTAAAGTGATTACTTTAAATATTATTCTCTCCACAACCCTGACCACTGAAGTATTTTTTGATCATTTGTCACTTAATCACAAACTGTTTTATGCTTATTTATATAAATAACTAGATTAAATCCACCAAGAGCATAAAATCCATTTAGGACAAAGAGCTACTTTATTCTGTATTTACACCTCAATACAATTACAGTTCTGAGCTTGCCAGGGTACCTAATATTTATTCTAGGCTATGGTCATTAAAATGATGATGTCCTTTGGTCTAGCAAATTTCAAACCCATTTCCTTTGTCTCTGCTGGAAACCATCATTTTAAACATCCTAATCTCTGGAAATACTTTTGGTGCTATGAGAGCCAGTACAGCATAATGGAAAGATAGCCAAATTCAAATCTCAAGACTACTTATTACCTAAATGACCTAATCCTGGAACATGCCTTCTCTTCTATAGAAATAAAACCACGCCAGCCAACTTTATTAGCCTGTTAAACATAATCATACAGATACAAAAGAATCTAGTACTGCACTTGGCTTATCACAGACATTTAGTAAATGTTGTCTCCCCCTTTGCCTCCTAATTCCAAAAGCTACTGCTTTTTAAAATCTATTCCTCTAGAAGAGGCAATGCTTCCAAAAGGCATCTAATTTTATCTGGACTACTAACTATCCATTTTTATTCTGTTTTAAAATGTAATTAATGCTATCGGTTCCAAAGTAACACTATTGAGAGAAAAAAGTATTTCAGTAATAAATTCAAAGTTATGCACTTCCTGGGACAACCTAGAATCAAGAGTGTAGAAAAACTAGGATTCTAAAGTAAGTTTGCTACAATAAAAGACTACTTAAAAGGCCAAGTACTTACTAATTTAGAACAGCAAAATAATTGGAATTATCTAATGAGGGAAGAGGAATTTATTACAATAAACAGTGTCCTGGCTCTAGGAACATGATTAAACAGTATTCATTTCTTTTTAATTTTATAGCTAACAGAACTGATTGGCAATGTTAGAAAAGCTGGTGTTAAGAGCTTAGCTGAGATTACATCAGGTAACACATAAAACTTTCCCTGCAGACATGAGTTCTTTAGGAAGAAGTACTTGGGACTTTTGATCATAAAATGATCCAAAGAGGCCAGGAATGGATCTAATCTCAAGAACTCAAAAGTAAATGGGGCAACTGGGTGGCTCAGTCAGTTAAGTGTCCAACACTTAATTTTGGCTCAGATCATGGTCGCAGGGTTGTGAGATCAAGCCTCATGCTGGGCTCCATGGTGGGCATCTCTTTACCCCGCCCCAATACATGCATCAGCGCACTCTCTCTCTCTCAACTCTAAAAAGCAAAACAAAACAAAAACTCAAAAGTACATTACAAAGCATTCTAAACAAATGCAGGACAAGATCAGGGTTACTCCTGGTCAAGAATTACAAACTGAGGATTAGCAAAGTTTTACACTGTTCCTAACTCTACTTCAAAAACACTCTCTAAATGAAAGGACAATGACTTACTTTATAATAATCTAAAAATCTATTAGAAAGAAACATCAATAAAACAATATTGGCCATACCCTAATAATTAAAGTTGGCTAATAGATACGTGGACGTTTGTATGATAGTCTCTCTACTTTTGTGTACCTTTGACAATTTCCATAATGAAGTTTTTTGAAGCATGTGACTTGCATCAAAATAGCTTTACCAGGGGCGCCTGGGTGGCTTAGTGGTTTAAGCCTCTGCCTTCGGCTCAGGTCATGATCTCAGGGTCCTGGGACTGGGCCCCACATCTGGCTCTCTGCTCAGCAGGAGCCTGCTGCCCCCTCTCTCTGCCTGCTTCTCTGCCTACCTGTGCTCTCTCTGTCAAATAAATGAATAAAATCTTTAAAAAAAAAAAAAGCAAAAGCTTTTCCAGGGGGCGCCTGGGTGGCTCAGTGGGTTAAAGCCTCTGCCTAAGGCTCAGGTCATGATCCCAGGACCCTGGGATCAAGCCCACATTGGGCTCTCTGCTCAGCGCGGAGCCCACTTCCCCCTCTCTCTCTCTGTCTCTCTGCCTTCTTGTGATCTGTCAAATAAATAAAATCTTAAAAAAAAAAAAATAGCTTTTCCAGGTGCCTGGGTGGCTCAGTCATTAAGCATCTGCCTTCAGCTCGGGCCATGATCCCAGGGTCCTGGCACCGAGTCCCACATCAGGCTCCCTGCTCTGCGGGAAGCCTGCTTCTCCCTCTCCTACTCCCCCTGCTAATGTTCCCTCTCTCACTGTGTCTTTCTTTGTCAAATAAATAAATAAAATCTTTTAAAAAATAGCTTTTCTAATCACACCTAATGAACAGAAAAATTCTAATTTTTAAATAAAAAAGCATGCCATTATTTAACAGAACACACTACTTAAACCTGGTAACCAGTTCCAGCCAACTCACCTAGGGTATTCACTGCCACCTGGTGGCAATATACCTCACTTGCATACTGTTTCAAGAGCTGGAAGAACAAGAATGACTTCTGCGAATCTTAAACATATGAAATGCTTGTAACATCACACATTACTTAAAAATTGTATCATCAACTCCAGTAGTAAACAAAAACTGATGAGAAACCTCTCCTGTGTTTACTACTCCTGGTAGTAAACATAACTGAGTTGGAAAGAGGTTAAAGAGAAATCTAGAATAAGAACCACCTCTCCAGTCCTAGTAAGTCATTCCAAGCTTCAGCTGGCTCCTACATAACAATTAGACTAGAGTAGTGAGTGGTTCTCAAGAGGGCGCAATTTTATCCCCAGAGCATAATTTGAATATATGGAGGTATTTTTGGTTACTGCAAGTGGGTTAGTTGGGGTCTGCTACTGACACCCAGTGGGTAGAGGCCGGGGACGCTGCTAAACATTCCATAGTGCAGAGAACCTCCCCTCGCCCCAACAATAAAGAGTTAACTCAGTCTGAAATGTCAACAATGCCGCTGCTGAAATACCTTATACCAGAGCCTTGCTCTTCAAAGTAAGGTCCCAAACCAGCAGGACCACCACCCAAGAACCTGCTAGAAATGCAGAATCTCAGGCCTTACTCAGTCTGACCTTACTAAATTAATCTGTATTTTAATATCCAAGTGATTCATATGCACATCAAAGTTGGAGACGCATTACTGATACCTAGTTTAAATCCCCCAAGGGGCGCCTGGGTGGCTCAGTGGGTTAAAGCCTCTGCCTTCGGCTCAGGTCATGATCCCAGGGTCCTGGGATCAAGCCCCACATCAGGCTCTCTGCTCGGCAGATAGCCTGCTTCCCTCTCTCTCTCTTCCTGCCTTTCTGCCTACTTGTGATCTCTGTCTGTCAAATAAATAAATCTTTTTAAAAAAAATAAAAAAATAAATAAAAATAAAATAAAATAAATAAATCCCCCAAGATTCTAATTCAATTGGTATGGAGTTAATGATCAGCACTTTGGCATTTTTTTTTAAAGCTCCCCAGGTGATTCTAATGTGCAGCCAAATTTGAGAACTCCTGCTCACAGACTACTAGTATCTCTGCCACTATTATATATACTACATGATAGTATTAAAATATCATACAAATCAATGAAGTGGATCTACATAAATAGTATTTTTTTTAAGATTTTATTTATTTATTTGACAGAGAGAGATCACAAGTAGGCAGAGAGGCAGGCAGAGAGAGAGGAGGAAGCAGGCTTTCTGCAGAGCAGAGAGCCCGATGTGGGGCTCGATCCCAGGACCCTGGGATCATGACCTGAGCCGAAGGCAGAGGCTTTAATCCGCTGGGCTACCCAGGCGCCCCCATAAATAGTATTTTTAAAGATTCATTTATTTATTTTAGAAAGAGAAAGAGAGAGAATAAGCAGGAGGGGCAGAAGAAGAATTAGAATCTCAAGCTGGTTCCACACTGAGTGCAGAGCCCAACGTGAAGGCTCTATCTCACAACCCTGAGATCACACCTTGAGCTGAAACCAAGAGTCAGATGCATAACCAACTACACCATGAGGCACTCCAATATATTTTTTTTCTTAGTCTATTTTAATAAGGTAAACACTTAACTGAGCTAAATGGAGGACTATTAATTGCTTTTTATTCATTAAAAATTAAAATGACAAGAAAGTTACACAGACCTTACCTTCTAGACTAAGAACAAAACAAACTACTGATAAGACACCTGGTTCAATCTTGAGAACCACCCCCACCTAATCTTCCAAATTATTGTTATGATGGCTATGTAACTCTTTCCCCTGGGTAATTTAGCCTTCAAAGGCATGAGTGAGAGTGTTCACTGAAGAATATATAAGTGGTGATTAAGAAAGCCAACTCATAAAAGAATGCCAACACCCAGCTAAATAGTAGTTATCAAAAGAAACTTTAAAGCATAAAACATATAAAGAAAAGTTATACAAACTGTACAGCATTCCTTACCTGGGTGTTTTGGAAGTAATGCCTCCAGAGAGGCCTAATTTTATCTTGACCACCAACATCCCATACTGTGAAACAAATGTTCTTATATTCTACTGTTTCCACATTAAAACCTACAAAGAAAAAAAGACAGTTGTGCAAAATGTGATTAGGAAAATAAAACCCCTTACTATGGAATTCTCTCAGAATTGCTTTTTAAAAATCTACTAGATAATCAACAAACTGAAAAAACCTAAGCCAGTTATAATGATAGATATATGACATAGTACACTTGTCCAAACCCATAGAAAGCACACCAAGAGTGAACCCTAAGGTAAACTATGGACTTTGGATGATTATGTCAATGCAGTTATCAATTGTAACAAATTGAGTGAGGACGCTGATAAAGGGGGAAGCTATATTTACACGGGGGTAAGTTTATGGGAAATCTCTGTATCTTCCTCTCAATTTTTCCGTGAACATAAAGCTCTCCAAAATAATAAAGTCTTAAAAACTGTTTCAAAATTAAACCATATCTATTTCTTTTATAATACAGTATTATGATATAATTAAAGTCATCTGTAAACTTTCTTACCAATGGTAGGAATGGTGGTGACTATCTCCCCTAACTTCAGTTTATACAGAATGGTCGTCTTGCCAGCAGCATCCAATCCAACTAGAAAAAGACATTAAAGATTTTAAATCTAGACCAAAAGAACACACACTATGAATTAATTTTACAACAAATTTATAGTTTGAAAGCATAAGTCAACTGCTCAAGGCCCAAATGAGTTAGAAATGAAATTACTTCGTTTCTGAATCCCAAGACAACACTTACTGCAGAAAGCCTTTCCATTTTTCTTTCTAGACCTAGAGAGACAGCATGTAGTAGTGAAAAGGAGAGAAGTATCTGACTCAGGCGCTAGTCTCTAGATTTGCTTTGCCATAAATTAGTCAAGTGTCTTTAAACCAGTCACTGTAGGAAACTGAGACCAGAGGAATTAGCTGTAAAACAAGGAGACTGAATCATTTAATCTAAGATCTTTTCTACTCAAGTCCTTATTAATTCTATGAACTACTATCATTTTTAAAAACCCATTACAAACTGAATCAGAGAACACATAAAAACAAGTGAACAAAAATTACCAAAAAATGTTAACTGTGCACTAGTATCCTTAAATGATAATAAAAGAAGATGAGGCCAATTTTACCCCTACCTAAATTCATTCCTACATCAAATGCACAGAAATGAGAACAAAAGACTGGTTAATTTAGGTTATAAAAAAATGGCCTTATAGTCATCTCCAATGTAATGAACATCTAAATTCTTAAAAAACGATTCCTTTGAGGCAGACATAAGTAGGGAAGAATGTGCTTGTTTCTGAAGGAAAAAAAATCCATCCTGGAATAAGAGGGTATACCTCTTCATTACAGTGACAGTGATGAGCAAATTAAATACTCATATTTTAAGTATGAATCTCTCAAAATCTGTCTCAAAATCACGTTCTATATTGTCAAACCCTTTTAAATGGAAGGTCAGTATCTAATAACATCACTGAATGTATCATTGTTCCAAGGACATCACACATATGGCCATCTATATTTATGCTATCACAGATTCGAAATGAATTCAACTTCATTCATGATTTAAGCAAAGATGCATTTTAAATATTTAAATCAAAGCATAACTTGGCACATGAAGTAAATGCTATTAAGTTAAAAAAAACACACACAGAAATCACCCCCCTTACCTACTTTACCTTACTGTGAAAATAAGTTTTTTTATCAGTTCAATTGAGAACTAAAGGCTATAGGCAATTTCATACCCCTTCCACCCATATAACCTTTTCTGCACTGTACCCTACAAAGGTAGCTTTAAGATTTCTCTGTACACGGAGACAATTTATGTCTTTGTATTCTGTTTCTTTTAATCAAACTATGTTCCCTACTCCTTCATACTGAGATATTCAGGTTTATTCTTTCCAAAACACTATAATACTTACTAGACAGAGTGAGCAACTAAGCCCTCACTCATGGGCACAAGAAAAACCAACTGGCACCAGGAGGTGCTTTGTTTTTTTGAGTACAGGACAATATAAATAAAAAATCAGAAATATATTTCTAAAATACACCCAAAGAAACAAAAGTTAACTACCTGAAGTCTGATATCTTCAGTAAAAATACAGAAAACGATGGGGAAAACAATATGATTATTTCATTGTTTGAAAAACCTATTTCTATGTGATATAACAGAGCACTGGGTGTTATGAGCAACTGTCAAATTACTGAACTCTCCCTCTGAAACTAATAATATACTATATGTTAATTAATTGAATTTAAATAACAATTTTAATTTTTAAAAAGATTTTATTTATTTGACAGAATAGGAAAGCACAAGCCGAGGGAGTGGCAGCGGGAAATGGAGAGGGAGAAGCAGACTCCTGGCTGAGCAGGAAGCCCAACGTGGGGCTGGATCCCAGGACCCTGGGGTTATGAGCTAAAGGCAAATACTTAACCCAATGGAGCCACCCAGGGTGCCCCGAATTAAAATTAAAAAAAAAAAAAAAAAAAGCAGTAGCTGTCTCTTGAGAGAGTAAGTCTTTCTCAGGTGATTTTGACCAAATTTTAAAATAAAGCAAAATTCACCATTAAGTAACTAAGGTAAAGGGGGTGCCTGGCTGGCTCAGTCAGTTAAGAGTCTATCTGACTCTTGATTTTGGCTAAGGTCATAATTCCAGGGTCTTGCGATTGAGCTAAGTTAGTCTCTGTGTTGGATGCGGAGCATGCTTAAGGGTCTCTCTCTGGGGTACCTGAGTGGTGCAGTTGGTTAATGAGCTGACTCCTGGTTTCGGCTCAGGTTATGATCTCAGGGCCCAGAGATCAAGCACTGCCTCCAGCTCCGCGCTCAGCATGGAGTCCTTGATTCTCTCCCTCAGTCCCTCCCCCTGCGTGTGTGCATGCACACACACACACACACTCTCTCTCTCTCATAAATGAATCTTTAAAAAAAAAAAAAAAATTCTTGGGGGTGCCTGGGTGGCTTAGTCAGTTAAGCATCTGTCTTCGGCTCAGGTCATGATCCCAGGGTCCTAGAATCAAGCCCTGCATCCAGCTCCCTGCTCAGTGGGGAGTCTGATGCTCTCCCTCTGCCCCTCACCCCACTCATGCTTGATCTCTCTCAAATAAATAAAATCTTAAAAAAAAAAAAAAAAAAAGATTTTCGGGGCGCCTGGGTGGCTCAGTGGGTTAAAGCCTCTGCCTTCAGCTCCGGTCATAATGCCAGGGTTCTGGGATAAAGCCGCACATCAGTCTCTCTGCTCTGCGGGGAGCCTGCTTTTCCCTCTCTCTCTGCCTGCCTCTCTGCCTACTTGCGATCTCGGTCTGTCAAATAAATAAATAAAATATTTGAAAAAAAAAAAAGATTCTCTCCCTTTCCATACCCGCCTGCTTACACTATCTCAAAAACAAAAAAATAAATCAACAAAAAACTAAAATAGGATTAAGCCCAAGTGAGAAGTGGAACTAAGATGCTGATTAGAAAAACATGAGTTAGGGAGCCTGGGTGGCTCAGTTGGTTAAGCAACTGCCTTCGGCTCAGGTCATGGTCCCAGAGCCCTGGGATCGAGTCCCACATCGGGCTCCCAACTCCATGGGGAGTCTGCTTCTCCCTCTGACCTCCCCTCTCATGCTCTCTCTCACTCTGTCTCTCTCTCTCTCTCTCTCTCAAAATAAGCAAATAAAAAATATTAAAAAAAGAAAAACATGAGTTAGATTTTTTTTAAAGATTTTATTTATTTATTTATTTTCTTGACAGAGAGCAAGAGAGCACAAGCAGGGGGAGCAACAGAGGGAGAGGAAGAAGCAAGCTCCCCACTCAGCAAGGAGCCCTATGTGAGTGAGACTCAATCCCAGGACCCTGTGATCATGACCTGAGCCAAAGGCAGACTCTTTACCAACTGAGCCACCCATACGATTTAGGTTTTGAGAACTACAGCAACTGCTAATCCTCACTGGAAGTCCAACTAAACCTCATACCATCACTAAAACAATTTATATCTAAAAATACTGACACAGAACAAAGAAACCCAAGACAAATTATGATTATATATTTTAAGTTATAGAAAAGCACAGAGGTAACCCAATTTTTAACAAAACTGTTAACACCTGCTTGTGTGCATAACTAATACTCTACTTCTAAGTTAGAATTTTCTTCACACAAACATGTGTTACTTTCATTTAAAAAAAATTCCAATATAACACATTTCCTTTATGAATACGTTGGCCTGGTTACATTTCCTGATGTATCTATTAGGAAGATGACTGCTTAAAAACCTTTTATATATTTTATACAATTATTTTTAATGAAAAACGGGGGAAGTGTTTACAAAATAATGCAACCCTAAGGCATTTTAAGGAAGTTATCTTTAAAATAAAAACTGTAAGATAACAGCTAAATAGCTCACAGCTACATGCAAGATTCTAAAATCATGAAGGTATCTTTTGAGTTTCACAGAAAAGTGTTATATAAATGCAAACCACAAGTTTTTTTTAAAAAGGAATTTCTAGAGGCAATTAGGTGGCTCAGTCATTAAGGGTCTGCTTAGGCTCAGGTCATGATCCCAGGGTCCTGGGATTGAGCCCGCATCGGGCTCCCTGTTCAGCGGGAATCCCGCTTCTCCCTCTCCCAACTCCCCCTGCTTCTATTCCCTCTCTCACGGTCTCTCTCTGCGTGTCAAATAAGTAAAATCTAAGAAAAAAAAAAAAATTCTACTGTGAGATTAAAGATGCACAAATGAACGCATAACATCACTTAAAACTCATATAGAATTCTTTACTCAAAAACATGTTGGTCTAACAATTTTGTGCTACTTCAGTCATTTCTTAAGTACGTATTTCCTTAATGTTGCAGTATTTGGCAATGAGTTTTCTCCACAAACTATAACCAATTCTCACCTAGCCAAGATAAGACTAATCTGTACATTCCAGCAATGCTCTCCCCTCCCGTCCACCCCCATAAACAAGTCACTGTATTGAAAGATATACTGGAATTACTTGTTCTTCTTAACTGGACTTAACTGGACCTGTACTTTAACCAAAATATTAACAGCAATAAAACTACCCCAAAACTCTTAGCCAATCATTAAAAAGTATGTCTACTAAAGTGTGGCAGCAAGAAATATTTATATTTTAAGTTAAAGACACTAGATTCCACGATCTCAAATTGAGAAAAAAAAAATGCAGAAAGGAGATTGGGATGAAAAAGAGTCTATTTTCAGATGGATAAAATTTCACACAGAGTATTTTTCTTTTTCATGGTTTCCTTTATCTTTCAATTTTCTACAAGGAAGCTTAAAATACAACTTCATAATTACTTAAAAATAAATGAAATTGAGTGTTTATTGTGTTCCAAGCACACCACTAAGTGACTCCATACATTTTTGTAATACAAACCTTACAACTACCCTCCATTTTTTCAAATGCAGCATCTGAGGTTCAGAAATGTCCCCAGAGTCACAGAAGTAGAAGAGGGATGCAAAACCCCATGTCTTATGGAAAAATTAGATCCCTCAGACACACCTGATGCGAATATAAAATGGTGTAGCTGCTCTGGAAAACAGTTTTGTCAGTTCCTTAAAGTGTTAAATACAGTTAACACAGAACCCAACAATTCCACTCCTAAGTATTTATTTACCCAAGACAATTAAAATTATATGCCCATACAAAAACTTGTTTTCAAATGTTCACAGCAGCATTACTTATAACAGTCAAAAGAGTGGACAATCAGATTTCCATCAAATGTGAATGGATAAACAAAATGTGGTATATCCACAGAAAGGAATTACTTTTCAGCCTTAAAAAGGAATAAAGTACTGACACATGATATAATGTGAACCTTTAAAACATTATGCTACAGTGAAAGAAGCTAGGCACTAAAGGACACATTGTATGATTACATTATGTGAACTATCCTGAACAGACAAACCCATAGAAACTAAAAGTAGATGAGTGGTTGCAGAACAAGGGAAGAAGGGGAGCAGTAACCACTAATGAGTATAGAGTTTCTTTCGGGGCTGATGAAAATGTTCTAGAATTAAGACAGTGGTGATGGTGGGGGCACCTGGGTGACTCAGTTGGTTAAGCCTTCAACTCTTGATTTCAGCTCAGGTTATGAACTCACAGTGGTGGACTGAGCACCCTACTGGGCTCTTCGCTGGGCATGGAGCCTGCTTAAGATTCTCTCTCCCTCTGCGCACACGCACACACACTCTTATGCGCTCTTTTTAAAAAAAGACAAGACAGTGGCAATGATGACACAAGTTTGTGAATATAGCAAAACCACTAAACTGTATACTTTAAAGGGATAAATTTTATGTTATATGAATTATATCTCAATTTTTAAAAATTAAAAACAAAAGCCAAAAAACCCCTAAATCTATACCAGAGCTCTCAAATGGTATTTATATACTGCCATCTTGCCTTTAGGTTTTTCTGGTGGACACACTGTATCTTAGTATTTTATCTAATTCTTCAGAAGTCTGACCATCAAATCTAAAAGTAAGGCTACCAGGTGTACAGAAAAGTAATTATAAGCTTAGGTTTTACTTCTACCCAATAGATCAGAAATATCTGCACTTTGAGCAATGTGTTAATTAGCAGCAAATTACCAAAGTCTGAAAGCCATTTGAATTAATGCCAGAGGGTACAACTAAAAATGTACTTTTATCAACTTCTAGTGGCATCAAACTAAAGATTTTTGCATTTTCTGTTGTTTCTTTATATCACATAACTAACCAGAAGGGCTTTTTTTAAAAGGCTGGCAATTATGTTTTCAACTAATGACCTGAGAAAATGCTCATAATAAGCTAAGTCAAAAAGAAAGAACATAAATTTCCTCTTAAAAGCCTGACAATAAATATAATAAATGTTAACAATAGTGTAACGGTGGAATTATTCTTTCTCATATTTTTAAAATTTCTTAAAAAAGGAACATGTTGTTTTTAGAAAGGGAAAATTTTTTAAATTTTAAAAATTAAAAATCACATAATAAATGTATTTACAAAATATATCAGGGAGTGGCTCGGTTGGTTAAGCGACTGCCTTCAGCTCAGGTCATGATCCTGGAGTCCCAGGATCGAGTCCGCATCAGGCACCCTGCTTGGCAGGGAGTCTGCTTCTCCCTCTGACACTCCCACTTCTCACCCTCACTCACTCTCTCTCTTCCCTCCCCCCCTCTCTCTTATTCTCTCTCTCAAATAAATAAAATCTTAAAAAAAAAAAAAAATTATGCCAGGGAAGGGGCACCTGGATGGCTCAGTCAGTGAAGCGTCTGCCTTCAGCTCAGGTCATGATCTCAGGGTCCTGGAATCTAGCCCTGCATCAGGCTCCCTGCTCAGTGGGGAGCTTGCTTCTCTCTCCCCCTCTGACACTCTCTTGCTCTTTCTCTCTCTCTCTCTCAAATAAATAAAATCCTTTAAAAAAATATATATGCTAGGGAAAAAGCATGAAATCCCACTCTATAGCTTGAAGACTCACTTAAAATATTAGTAATATTTTTCAAATTGGCAAATAGAGGAACCTCTCCGGTCCCCACAAAACCACAGTCCCATATAAGACAATACAGAATTACACTGTTATTAGCAATCCTTTAAAAAGCAACATTTTCTCAGCTTTTCAATGGGAAAAAAACTTACAAGTTCAAAGAGCTTAGTATTAATAATTCCTCTACAGAACACATTAGTGTTTTCCAACATAAACAAAACTTGGGGAGCCATTTCCCAAAATTACACAGATGAAGACACTGGAGATCAGTCCAAAAATAAGGTAATGCAGGGCTACATGAAATATCTAAAGTGGGAAACTGTTCATTTTTTAATTTAAGTTCAATAATATCATTCACCTGAGTGATTTCTCAAAAAAAAAAAAACCCTAAATAGACAATTTCTGTTGATCTATACTTTAAGCGACATTACATTTAAAACACTGCATTGGTTTTTAATTAGTTAACTACAAGCTATAACGTCAAACACCTTTTAAAATTATTTGAACTTCTGGGATAACAAGTGTAGGAATAAAATGTTAAACTTCACAGTACTTTGGCAAACCAGATTCACGTGCTAACTGCTATCTTTTAGAAACACTTAAAAACGATAAAGACTGGGGGACACCTGGGTGACTCAGTGGGTTAAGCCTCTGCCTTCGGCTCAGGTCATGATCTCAAGGTCCTGAGATCAAGCCCCACATCGGGCTCTCTGCTCTGTGGAGAGCCTGCTTCCCTCTCTCTCTCCGCTTGCCTCTCTACCTGCGTGTGATCTCTGTCTGTCAAATAAATAAAATTTTAAAAAAATGATAAAGTCTGAAAAAGTCACTGACTCAAGAAGGTATGAATTTTATATAAGCCTAATAAAGAAAAAGTGTACTTATCTGCCAGAGAACATTAATATGAGAAAAGCAATCATTAACTCAATTCTAAACTTGAACACAAGCAGAGAAAGACCTTGAGAGTGATTATTTATGCATTCAATTCACAAAGTTGGACCAAAAAAATCAATTATCAAACTTCCATATCACCTCTTTCCCTACCCATGCAATATCCTCCCCTAAGGTTATGCTTCATTTGATGAGTAAACTTGACTTTGTAACTTTAGTGTTTTTAATCAAGGAAACCTAATCATCCCAAAATTAAAGAGCAAAACAAGAATAGGAAACCAGAGTAATAAGATATTTAATATAAAAAAAGTAGTTCCAAATCATGACTTCTATCTCTTGCATAAACACACAAAGTTAAATGCTTTTCCATTTTCTTTCAACCGTTATTTTTTGGGGATAAGGGGAGAAATGCTCCCCTAATACAGTAAATTCAGTAAAGTGCTTATAGCATAACTCTACCTTTCTTCTCCCTCTGAAACTTTAAGCCATCACAAAAGACTTACGGTACAAAACACAGCAATTCATTTGCAATAAATCTTAAGTAAAAGGACAAACATAGTACATTTCCAGGAACACAACTAGTTCCTGGAAACCAGGTACTAGTTAATTTCTTTAAGGAACAGCCTGGAAATTCATTTATCACAGTCCAAAGTCCTCCCAATGACTTCAGATCCTTTTCAGACTGTCAACTTTCAGCCACCTTAAAAACTTAATATGCTTGCCCTCCTTTAAAAATTGTCTCTATAAATGAAATCTAAAAAAGTTTTAAAGAGAAAAAATTTTGATTTACCTTTATGAAAGAATTAACTATTCCATGAATTGTAAAGAAGACAGAAATAACAGTTAAAAAGGAACTAAATGTGTAATCTTCATACATCTCGAATTACTACTGAATCTAGCTTTGGAAAACTTTCAAAGTAGTAGAACTAGAACCAGAAAACTAGAAAATAAAACTTTTCCTCCCCACTCTACAAAAACAAGCTTCTAAATAACCAAGTTGCAACATTTAAATTAGAGGAGCTCCTTTTCGCATTATTGAGGTCCACAGAGCTTAGCTGTGATGTAGAGACGACTCACAGTAACATGGGGGAGGGGCTGCTTTACATCGCCCAAGTGACAAGCCCCTTCTCCCTCAGCTGAAAAACCAACCAAACAAACAAAAAACTGGCGTTGAAAAGTAGCTTTTAAAAGCTTATTTTCCACAAGAATCTTTTTAAAAAACCCTTTGTAATTATTACTGAACAAGACTATCCTAAAATTAAGGGTCACGATGTTCAGTTACTAGGAATTTGTTATCGGCTTAAAAAATTAAGTTTTTTTTTTGTTAAACCTTAACCAGCTAGATAAAAATTAGTTTGAAAACCAAAGACAGTAAACCAAACTTAGTTTTTTGAGAGTGGCCAAAAAGTGATTCAAGATAAACTCAGTTTTCAGGGACATTAATAAGGAAAAGAACACGAAGTGGAATCCAGCGCCAAGTAAGTTTGGCGAAGTGAGCGCTGAGGACTCCGGACTCTTCTGAAACCGAGGGTGCTCCCTTGCCACCGATCTGGGCCAGGTCACTTCCTGCCTCGGGCGGCTCCGGGCTCCCGGCGACCGCTCGCTCCACATACCACTGGAGTGTGCAGTGTGTGTACACGGAGCAGAAAGGGGGAGGAGGAAGGCTGGAGTAGTTCTGCCTGCGTCCTGACCGCTGCCCACACCGGAGAAGAAGGAGCCAGACCGCACTCTCAGAATGGGCCTCGCCAGTGTCTTCCGGGCTCAGCGAGATCAGAAGAGTTCGCTTCCCCCACATCTCCGCCCAATCCTGTCTGATTTCAGTACCATCAAGTAGAGAAAGCCAAAGCCAGAGGAAGAAACCTTGTCCCGCGGCCCTGCCCGGCTTCTTAGACAGATCTGGGGCGACCGCCCACCTTTCGCCCCATTGTTCCCCCTTAAGAATTCCTACTGACCCCGAGCCGCCGCCCCTCCCCCACCACAGCGGGCGGAGGGACAAACAGGCCCCGAGGCCGGGACAAACAGGCTCCGAGGCCACCCGAAGCACTAAGACCCCGCCTGCCCTCGGCTGTCGGGCCGTCACTCACCCATCAAAATGCGCATCTGCTTCTTGCCGAAGAGGCGGGAGAAAAGGGAGGAGATAGTGAGGCCCATGGCAGTAGTGGCACTTGCGATGGGCAGGAGCAGAAGGGGGTTTGGGGCGTCCCCGGGCCTTCTCCTTTCACGCTCCCAACAAACTGAGCGAAGGAAGAGGAGCTGAGGAAGAAAGAGGGCGGCAGAGACGGCTCGCTAGCCGGTGTGTCCTGCGAAGCCCCAGAACGCGAACTAACGGGGCGAGGACCTGCTCGACGACTGGCGCGGCAGCTCCGGGTCTGGCGATTTAGGCTTCTGCTTTGCCACGTCACGCGGTAGCAGCGGCGACTCCAGCAGCTGCCCGGCCCCTCCAACGCGGACAGAATCGCGTCACTGCGGCCCCAACCCCCTGCGCTTCCGGTGCTGGCCGAACCACTGCGCCTGCGCACGAAAGGGATAGGCCAGTTCCGCCGACGTGATCCTCCGGCCGCCGTCTCCTCCCGGACGTGGACCTGCGCGGCGAAGTCAACTAGCACATGCGTACTGAGAGACGGACGAAGTCCCACAATGCTTTGGTTGGTCACGTCCAATCAGATTCTAGGCGAAACGCTTCCGCCCAGATAAATACATCCAGGAGGTTGTAGTCCTTACTTCCGGAAAGGCGCTCTGTGCATTGTGGGTTAGGAAGTGAAGCTCGGTCCCTCCTGCCCTTTGAGCGTTCTGCTCTTAAATGCTACGCGCTATGGGGATTCCCCGGTCTACGACGGTACACGTTTCCTGCGCGGCAGCAGACGCTTGGCCTAGTGGAGAGGTGAAGATGGGCCTTGCTTTCCCAGGAGATAAGTGGTTAAAAGTTGTGCAGACTTAGAGGCTGTGGCCTAGGCGCGTTGAGCCGTCCGTTCCGGGTCATACTGAATATCCCTAATCCTGTGTCAAAACAAGAGAGCTCCGATATAATGTTCATTGACTAGTGCAGCTTTTTAAGAAAGCCGGGGAAGGATTGCGTTTCTTTTATCATTTCTCTCCCTGAAGCATAGAAAACTTAATTCCTTATGTTAAGAAAGTGGAAAGCCTCGTTCTAAAAATATTTATCATCTTAATGTTTTTTTTGATTACAAAATGAGGTATACATCTTGTAAAAAAAATTTTTTAAAGCACATTTCCCGTAATTTCCTCCATATCCCCATATTTCCTTTATACCGTTGGTGCAGTTCAAAGTTAGTAGCTCGCCCTACTTACACCCCTTAGTTAAGTCATTATCACCCAACCTTAAGATCTAATTAAAAATTTTACTGTCTTGGGAAATACTTACTTGATCTCTCTAGATGAATTACTCAGGCTCAAAGAATCACAACCACTCTTAACAGTTTAAGTTTCACCTTTTTAAAAAATATTTTATTTATTTATTTGACGGAGAGAGCACAAGCAGGCAGGGAGGCAGGCAGAGAGAGAGGGAAAGCAGACTTCCCGCTGAGCAGAGAGCCCAATGCGGGGTTTGATCCCAGAACCCCGAGACCATGACCTGAGCCACAGGCAGAAGCTCAACCCACTGAGCCATCCAGGCACCCCTTCACATATATTATTGAGTCTTCCTCCCTACCCTACTTGTCTGAAAACGTATGCCATTTCTGTATGCCGTTATATTTCCTGGAGTTGGCACACCGTGATATTCAAATATGGTTGAGTGATAGAGGGGATGGCTAACTAAACTATATTATATTCATACAACGTAATACTATCAGAAGTTAGAATAATGTAGAATTATAAATTCTGATGAAAAGTTCTCCAAGATACAGTAAGTGGAACACGCCAAATAATGACTACGTACTGTAAAACAGTATAATAATGTAGATTTCCAGTGGGTATTTGAGTCTGTGTCTGTAAATGCAGAACAAGAATTTTTAAGTAACATCTGCAGTAGGGATGGTCGTTACCTGTTTAACCTGTTTGGAGGCAGGAGGCGGCCTTCCCAGGAAGTAATGGAACCTGGTTTTGGTGCAGTAATCAGAAGAACTTAATCTGTACTTTAAACATTTTGCTTTTATTGAAATGCAATAAAATTCACCAATTTTAACTGTACAATTTTATGAATATAAACAAATGTATACAGTAGCATAGCCAGGACCATAATCATGATAGCAATCATTTCTATTACCCCCGAAAGTTCCCTTATGCTCCTTTGTACTCATCCTCTTCCCTCACCCCCAGCCCTTGGCCAAACACTGATCCGTCACAAGAGCTTTGCCCTTGCCAAAATCTCATATAAATGAAATCATACAATATGTAGTCTTTTGTGGATAGCTTTTTTCCCTCCTAGCATAATGATTTTGAGATTCATCTGTGTTATGGCGTGTATCAATATTTTGTTCTTTTTCACTACTGAGTAGTATCCCACTATATGGGTATACCACAGTTTCTTTTATGCATTCACCAATTCACCAATTCATAGACTTTGGGTTGTTTAAAGTATTGAGCTTTGGAGTGCCTCAGTGGCTCAGTCATTAAGTGTCTGCTTTCAGCTCAGGTCATGATCCCAGGGTCCTGGAATTAAGCCCCGCATTGGGCTTCTTGCTTGCTGGGAAGCCTGCTTCTCCCTCTCCCACTCCCCTTGCCTGTGTTCCCTCTCTCGCTGTCTCTCTCTGTGAAATAAATAAATACAGTCTTTTTAAAAATTAAAAAAATTGGGCTTTATGAATAAGATTGAACATTTGAGTACAAGTGTTTGTTTATCTGTATTAATTTATTTTTACAAGAAGTATTTATCCATGCATTATGTATATAATTTAAAAAGTAATCTTTGACTTTGATAAATGAGTCAACCACTCTTTGACATATATTCTTCCACATTTTCCTCCCTGAAATACTAACATCTCTATATAAACGTTAAAGGGATTTTATACTGCTAAGCAATTCCTTTTCAATTTAATAATATACAATGGACATTTAAAAATATCAGTATTTATAGATTCAACTCATTCTTTTTTTAAAATATTTTATTTATTTATTTGACAGATCACAAGTAGGCAGAGAGAGAGGGAGAAGCAGGCTCCCCACTGAGCAGAGAGCCCGATGTAGGGCTCGATCCCAGGACCCTGAGATCATGACCTGAGCTGAAGGCAGAGGCTTAACCCACTGAGCCACCCAGGCGCCCCAACAACTTACTCTTTTTAAGAGCTGCATTCCAGGGGCACATGGGTGGCTAAGTCGTTAAGGATCTGCCTTCGGCTCAGGTCCATGACTCCAGGGTCCTCGGATCCAGCCCTGCATTGGGCTTCCTACTCAGTGAGGAGTCTGCTTCTCCCTCTCCCACTCCCCCCGCTTGTGTTCCCTCTCTCACTGTCTCTCTCTCTGTCAAATAAATAAATAAAACCATTGTTTTAAAAAGCTACATTCCTTTGTAGCTACATAAAATAACTTACTTAACTGATCTATAAAATTGTAAAACATGCGTATTCTTTGATCTAAAAATTCCACTTCCAGGAATTTATGGTAATGAAAATTTTTCTCAAGTTTGTTATGTTCAGGGGCACCTGGGTGGCTCAGTCGATTAAGCGTCTGACTCTTTGATTTCAGCAGGGTCCCTGATCTCAGGATGGTGAGATGGAGCCCCAAAGTGGGCTCAGCTCTCAGTGCCTTTTTAAATAAGATAAATAAGATCTTCTTAAAAAAAAAATTTGTCCCATTCAAACAATGTTCATTATAGCATTGTTTGTAATGGAGAAACTGGAAACATCAGTTTTTTAAAAAATATTTAAGTCACCATTTGCCTTTGCTGATCACTAATCCAAATATTCCAATTTTGCTTTTGCTACAATTTTATAAATTCACAAGGATAAGTTAAGACAGTAATTAGACCCATTGCCAGGATAAGTATTAATTGCTTTCTAACAGTTCTATCCTAGGAGGTTCTATAGTTGCTTATTTCAACTCATGCATTCTGCAGGATGGAGTTGAATAAGAAAAATATAAAAAGTTTGAAAAAGAGTAAGATATTTTGTATTGTTGAAGGCCTTCTGAGTATAGCTCCATTTGGTAGAACTATACTTCAACTGTTATTTCTCAGAATGCCCTGGGCACTCAAAAGAAAAAACTTTACTCTGGTGGATAATAAGGTAAAGCAATTTTGTATACTACACTAGGTTTATTCTGCCCTTTTAAAAAGTCCAGATATTCCAGCAATAACAAGCAACATGAAATTAAATGTAATTAAATGTTCAACATTTAAAGAGCACCAGAAAAATGCAAAGAGAAAGCAATATTTTTTGTACTTAGACTTTAATACTTAAAATTAATAATTTCTGGTGTGAAGCAAAATACTGTTTAATTTTGTAATAACTAAAAGTCTATACAGTTACCTAAGAGATTTGTACATTTTCCTAGAATTTAACTTAAATGGAATTAAAGACTGTATCTTCCTTGAAAAGAACCTTCCTTTGCACTGGAAGTACATGTAATAAGTTGCTTACCAGCTGAGTAACTTAAAATTGCATTTTGGAGGCTTGTTAGATTAAAAAAAAAAAAATCCTTGTACCCTTTAAGTAGCCTTTATGTCTTTTTGAATTTTATATAGAATTCCTTAAAACAATGTTCACCTGATTATATGTGTCTTTCCGAGTTGATTCTAATAAATTTCTCAAGACAGGGGCACCTGGGTGGCTCAGGGGTTAAAGCCTCTGCCTTCGGCTCAGGTCATGATCCCAGAGTCCTGGGATCGAGCCCCGCATCGGACTCTCTGCTCAGCAGGGAGCCTGCTTCTCTCTCTCTCTCTGCCTGCCTCTCTGCCTACTTGTGATCGCTGTCTAATAAATAAATAAATAAATCTTTAAAAAAAAAAATTTCTCAAGACAAAGGAAAATGGGTCTCCTTCCTCATAACTACTTCCAAATCTGTTTAATTAAGCAAAATAGATGGAAGGAGTTCTGATGTCCATCTCTAGCACCCAAAACCTAAAGCAAAAAATAAACAAACAAACAAATACAGACAAAACAACAAATGAAGATGTCAGAGTAGATTTTTCAGATTTCCTTTTAAGATATGCCATACATCAAATAGCTAATAGAGGTTATAGAACAGGATGTTAATGGCCTACTGAAATGTCTCTTTTGTAAAGATAAGAATAATCAGGGTCAGAGAGGCTAAATACCCTGCCAAGGTATCCACCACAGGTAATAAGCAGTAGAATTGGGATAAGAACCCATTTCTTGAGGTGCCTGGGTGGCTCAGTCGGTTAAGCATTTGCCTTTGGCTTGGGTCGTGATCCCAGGGTCCTGGGATTGAGCCCCACATTGGGCTCCTTGCTCAGTGGGGAGTCTGCTTCTTCCCCTCCCTCTGTGCTTTCTCTCAAGTAAATAAATAAAATCTTTTTTTAAAAAAAAAGAACCTATTTTTTCTGATGTCAACACTATTAATCAGTATACTCACTGCCGTCTTTTTAAAAATGAGAAAATTGAGCCCCAAAGAAAAAAATTGTTACTGTTTATTGATCGCATATCATGTAGCAAGTCCTATACTTCATTTAACCTAACAATTATGAGCAAGGTATTTTGAGGTTGCCCCAACTCATGAACAACACACTACATTAGGTATGTTTCCCTCATGTCTGATTTTTTGGGAAGATTTTATTTTTTTATTTTTATTTTTATTTTTTTTTAAAGATTTTATCCATTTATCCGACAGAGATCACAAGCAGGCAGAGAGGCAGGCAGAGAGAGAGGAAGGGAAGCAGGCTCCGTGCTGAGCAGAGAGCCCGACGCAGGACTCGATCCCAGGACCCCGAGATCATGACCTGAGCCGAAGGCAGCAGCTCAACCCACTGAGCCACCCAGGCGCCCGGGAA